TCCTTGTTTTATGTTCTTTGTTTTTGTTTCTATTTTGTGTAGGGAAACTAAATTGGATCATTCAATCACCAATCCCTGTGGAATCGACCTCGCACTTACATATGCTATACTACCAACGGTTCGTGCACTTGCGAGTATCACAAGTTGAGGATGCAGCTTAATCCATTTTGGTGGAGCTAAATCTACGCAACACTAACCACTCACGTGCTTTGCACATCTAACTCACTAACTGTTTTAATATCCATAGTTCACAGCTCAAAGCTAGAGAAACTGTGATATGAGCATTGTAGTTAGTTAAACAATTCATTAAGCAATCCTGAAAAGAACCTCCATGGCCAATAATTCTCAACATAGCGACAAACAGAAGCTGCAAGAGGGCAATGCATGAAAAGGTACAAATGAAATACCTACGTGTTTTATTCAGCAAAATTTGTGAAAAGTACAAATAAAAAGTTCGGCAAAATATACAAGCTACAGAAAAATGAGGGGTCAAAATATAAATAAAACTTAATTATGGCGATAAAAAGAAATTTCCGCAAAAAATTGTTCCGGGAAAGCTTTTCCGATTCATAAACCACCAGATCGACCAGAGATAAACCTTATTCAAGCTTTTAATCAGGGACGGAGATATAAATAGAGAAGAGAGATGCATTAGGGTTTCAGCCGACGTGTTTCTTCTTCCACACTATCATGTACGGAAATGATGTCCTAGAGGCTAGAAAGGGTTCTACTCCTTTCTTCTTCACTCTTCTTCTCTAACGTTAGCTCCATTTCTTCGGCTCTGCTCATCATCAGAACCAAAAATTCTAAGTTCCTAAAGTTTCTCTTTCCTTTTTCTTTCAATTTCGAAGAATCGGCGCCTAGGCAACGCCTGGGCGGGTCGAGTATTTTTTTTAAAATTAAAATGGCGGGCTTGGCTTTAGTGTTAGTTTTGATTGACATAGTAGAGATTGGGTTTGATTTGAAAATTATGACGTTTGGGGTTCTTGTTGCTCCTCCCTATTGATACTCTGCTGTAAGAACAGCTCCCTGCATGTTTATTTATAGCTGAGTTTTATCTCTACTGCTTTTCTCAGTTGGTATAACTACGTGAATGTGCTAGACATGGATAACATACAAGATATCACACAAGCGATGCAGGAATTCAAATTTGAAGCTTTTCCTCAGGAAATCATACAAGATATCCTATTTAGGCTACCCGTTAAATCTCTGATCAATTGCACCTCGATGTGCAAGGCATGGAGGTCCATGATCATGAACAAAAGCTTTATCCGCGCCCACTTAACCATAACAGTCGATTTTGCTAACCAGGATGACATTGACCTCCTTCTACTCCACATAATTTCTTGTGACAGTAGCAGCACCTTCGGCCACAAAATGATCATTTCCGAGATAAAAGATGAGGTTCACTCTGTGCATTATGATAACCAGGCTTTTGATGTGTACTCCAAGATCGAATTTCCAATTGCTGCAAAGCAAGACTGTGCAATGATCATCTTCGTGTGGTCGGCACTTGTAGCGGGCTAATCTGCCTTGCGGATGATGTCATCTATTCTGGTTTCAACTTCTTTATATGGAACCCAACCATCAGAAAGTCAGTGACTCTTCCCGAGCCTGGTATTACCTTTTGGACGCATGGTGGATACAATGCTTCGATTGGGTTCGGTTTTGATGCTATGACCAATGACTATAAGGTTGAGCGAGTTGTGACTTAATGGATGAAGTTAAGAGGCCAACTCTAGCTGAGGTTTATTCCCTAGCCAGGGGCACATGGAGTAGTCCAGCTTGTGTTTCTCCTACATGTCGAATAGAAATGGCTACATCCAATGCTTTTGTTAATGGGGTTCTTCATTGGCTTGTAGTCTCAGACGGCGATGGTTGCTATTTTATATTGACGTTTGACCTGGGCAAGGAGGTGTTCAGTAAGATACCTATGCCGAAGATTATCCATTGGAATCCCAAGTGGGGATTGTGTCAGATACAGAGTAGTCTTATTTCAATATTCCTCCAAATGGGGAGGTCAATATATATAAACATTACAAAGTGAAAGTGCTCCATAAAAGTATGGAGATAAAGATAAGCTAGTTGTCTAAATCCTTCCTAACACATGCTAACTGTCTGCCATAAAACAATATTCTCTAAACAAGATATGGTGCCCACACGTGTTGACCATGCAACCATATTTTCCAACTCATGCCAACATTCCCCCTCAAGTTGGTGCATAGATGTCTCACATGCCCAACTTGTCAAGTGAGTTGGAAAACGCAGTGGTGGAAACAACATGGGTCAAGATATCAGCTAACTGGTCTTCTGTCTTCACAAATGGCACATCAATAATATGAGCTTCCAACTTTTCTTTAATAAAGTGTCTATCCACTTCCACATGCTTGGTACGGTCATGTTGCACAGGGTTGTGAGCAATAGCAATGGCAGCTTTATTATCACAGTACAATGACATAGCAACTCTAGGTTTGTAACCTAGTTCTTTCATCACATTCTTGACTCATAACAATTCACAAATACCTTGGGCCATCGCCCTGTATTCAACTTCAGCACTCGAACGAGACACAACCTTTTGTTTCTTACTTCTCCAAGTAACCAAATTTCCACCAACAAAAGTAAAGTAGCCAGAGGTAGAACGCCTGTTAGTATTATCACCTGCCCAATCAGCATCAGTATATCCTTCAATAGTTAAGGATTCATTTTTGGTAAATATAATACCCTTTCCAGGAGTACTCTTCAAGTATCGTAGAATCCTGTTGACAGCATCCATATGTCTTTCACTAGGAGCATGCATGAACTGACTAACAACACTTACAGCATAAGCAATATCGGGTCTAGTATGAGAGAGATAAATTAATCTACCCACCAGTCGTTGATATCTTTCCTTGTTGGTGGGAACATCACCAGGATTTTCTTGTAACTTATGATTCTGTTCAATTGGAGTGTCAGCTGGTTTGCACCCAAGCATACCTGTGTCAGTTAAGAGATCTAAAACATACTTCCTTTGAGAAAGAAATATGCCCTGGTCTGATCTGGCCACTTCTATCCCAAGAAAATACTTCAATCCCCCCAACTCTTTCATCTCAAATTCACTTGACAGATATTTCTTCAATTTATCAATTTCATCATCATCACTTCCAGTCAATATCATATCATCCACGTAAATAATTAAAGCAGTTACCACTTCAGAAATAATGTGTGATATGAGTTACTCTGTTTGTACCCAAACTTCCTCATTGATAGTGCAAATCTTCCAAACCAACATCGAGAAGAATGTTTTAATCCATATAATGCCCTTTTTAACCTGCATACCATTCCTGTCTTTTCTGGAACACCTGGTGGAAGATCCATGTACACATCTTCTTTCAACTCCCAGTGTAGGAAAGCATTCTTAACATCATATTGCAATAGAGGCCAATCATAATTAGCAACTAAAGACAGTAATATACGCACAGTATTGATCTTAGCTACAGGAGCAAAAGTCTCATTGTAGTCTACACCATATTTCTGAGTATAACCTTTAGCAACCAGTCTAGCTTTGTACCTCTCGACAGAGCCATCAGCTTTATGTTTGATGGTGAAAATCCATCTGCATCCAACAGTCTTCTTTCCTGGAGGCAAATGAACCACATCCTATGTCTGATTCTTTTGTAGAGCCCTCATCTCCTCTACCATAGCTTCGGTCCATTTAGCATCTGCTAATGCATCCTGCAACTGTCTTGGAATAGATACAGTAGATACTTGATATAAGAACGACTCATATGACTTGGATAATCTATGGGTTGACACATGATTACTGATGGGATATTTGGCTTTAGCATTTAGGTCTGCAGTATATTGAGGTTTGGGTTTACCATGGTTTGTTCGAACAGGCAATTGATATTTTGATGGTTGAGACTCAAAATTGTTATTTAAATTACCTAAAACATCATTAGTTTCAGGAGTTACCTCATGTGGGACCTCTCGAGTAGGTTGGATAGGCCGTGGAGAAAGAGGGGAATAAGATGGTGTTTCCATGGTGTTTTCAGTTTCTGGTGTTTGAAAGTTGAATTCTTGGTCATCAATGATAGCCTCAGTGTGAGCTTCAGCATCCACACATGGGACAGAATCAGAAGCTTCAGTTTCAACTTGAGCATCCAGACGTGAGACATTATTAGACTTAGATGCAGAAATTGTAAGCCACTCATGGCTATTCTCTTCTACGCTGTCATTCTCCCTCTGAAGAGGAGAGCCATCAATGGTAAAATAGGATAATTCCTCATGAAATGTGACATCCATAGTAATAAACATCTTGCGAGTAGGCGGGTGATAACAACGGTAGCCTTTCTGATGGGAAGCATAACCCACAAAAAGACATTTGATGGCACATGGGTCGAGTTTACTTCGCTGATGAGGAAGCACATGAACATAGGCAACACACCCAAACACCTTAGGAGGAAGGTTAGTGACAGGAGACATGGTCTTCATTTTAGCTTGAAGAACTTGAAGCGGGGTTTGATACCCAAGTACACTAGAAGGCACCCGATTTATTACATACATAGCAGACTGCAATGCTTTCCCCCATAGATACTTGGGAACATTGTGATGAATCAGAAAGGCTCGGGTAACCTCCAAGAGTTGGCGATTGCGACGCTCCGCAACACCATTTTGTTGCGGAGTGTAGGGACATAATGTTTGATGAATCATTCCTTGGGAGATAAAGAACTCAGCAAGATCACGATTAACATATTCGCTGCCATTGTCAGAACCCAACACTTTGATAGTGGTAGCAAATTGAGTTTGAACCATCATACAGAATTCCTTAACAATACGACTCACATCGCTCTTGTGTTTGAGCAAATAAATCCAGGTGATACGTGTGCAGTCGTCAATAAAGGTCACAAACCATCGCATACCACCACATGTAGTGGTTTGAGAAGGACCCCAAACATCATAATGGACCAAAGTAAATGGCATCAATGCCTTGTTATCGCTCGAGGAAAAAATAGTACGATGACTTTTGGCGAAAATACAAGTCTCACATGTAGAGCATTTAAACTCTTTATTACAAGAAGCAAACAAAGAAGGTAAAAGGTGCTTTAAATATCCAAATGATGGGTGTCCTAACCGTTGATGCCACAACCAAATCATCTTCTCATTCTCCAAAACTTGCTTATTAACTTGATGTGCAACAATGTCAGACTTTGAACCATGAAAGTACCATAAATCCCCTCTCCTAAAACCACGACCCACCTCCTCCTGAGTGTGAAGATCCTGAAAATAACAATGTTGTGGGAAAAAATGGGAAGAATACTCTGCCGTAAGTTTGGACACAGATAATAGATCCTTATCTAATGTAGGAACAAGAAGGACATTAGTTAAGGTCATGGAAGGGGTAAGTTTTACAGTGCCAATGCCAGTGATAACATTTGTTTCTCCAGTAGCAGTTTTCATGATATATTTTGAACATGTGGAAGTAAAGGTAGTGAATTTCCTAGGATTATTAGTCATATAATCAGTTGCTCCAGTATCAACTACCCATGCACTATCACAAGCAGAAGTAGAAGTACATAAAGTATAACTAAATTTACCTTGCTTGGCCTCCTTAGTGGTTACATCACCTGATTCATCCCCAGTGGTTTGAGTGGTGACATGAGCAGCACTGCTTCTATGTTTCTGGGCAATCAAATCATCAGCCCATGCAGGTCGTCCATGAAGTTTCCAACACTTATCAATAGTATGGTTTTTACCACAATAAGTACATTTTTGCTCATCTTTAGTAGGAGACGATCCATTGTGCTTGACAGAGGACTGTAACGGTGCAGAGGATCTCTCAATGACTGGTTTTGAAGCAGAAGCTGGTATAGGTGGGTGTGCAAAAGAAGTACGATCTAGTCCTTGGAATCCCTTGCGTGCAGCCATGGCACTTCCACTAGTCTTCTCTTCACTCCACATGGTTTTTAGTCGAACATCTTCTTCACAAATCATAGCATAAGTTTCTAAAACATCAGGAAGAGGATCAGAGCGGAGCACATGTGCCCGGGCTGCATCAAGATGTGAATCCAGCCCTGCCAACAAGATATATACACGGAAATTTGTGACAGTTACCAAATGAGTGCAGAGATCAATTTCATTCTTGATTTGAGGTGGATTGATGGCATCAAGTTCTTGCCAAATGATTTGCAATTCCTCATAATAAGCCTCCAGGGTGCGTCCTGCTTGCACGGTGTTGACAGATCTCTTGGTCAACTCATAAATCTTTGAGTAGTTATTACTCACAGAATAAGTTTTCTCTACAGCATTCCAGATTGCTTTGGCAGTAGCAAGACGATCGAACAGAGCACGGACATGTTTTTCCATGGCATTGAGAAGCCATGTTTGAACAGTACAATTTTCTTCTTCCCAATCTTCATAGGCATCAACATCTTCCTGTTTAGGAGCTTTCTTGGTACCAGTAATATAGCCGAGCTTCTTCTTGCTGGCTATGGACATGCGAGCTGCACGAGCCCAGGAATCATAATTGACTCTCCCAGTCAATTTCTCAGGAGCAATTTGGAAGTTTTCGAATCTATCACCAGCCATAGGTAAATGAATAAAGAATATTATTCAAAAACTTTGGTTTGAAAAGGGAGACAAACTTGTCTCAGATGGGAAATAGAAATTATGGGAAAAAAGAGAAAAGGTTAATATAGTTTATGGGAAAGATAAAAAGTAAAGAATGATGGGCATGTGGGAATATGGAAAAAAATAAAATGGATTTTTGTAAAGAGGAGAGGATTGGATCAGTTTGACGGTAGCAGCAAGCTATGGAGCAGTTCTGGCAGTGGGTAGTGGGAGGGCAGTTGGATAGTATAGATATTCAGTGGGCAGTGGTAATATTTTCTGGGTTTGGGTATGGGTAATAGCAGCGGAATGCAGAGTAGGGTAATAGCAGCGGAAAAACGAAATTGTATGGAAAGCTAGGATAGATCAGTTCAGGTCTCAAGAGCTTAATGCTCTGATACCATGTCAGATACAGAGTAGTTTTATTTCAATATTCCTCCAAATGGGGAGGTCAATAAATATACACATTACAAAGTGAAAGTGCTCCATAAAAGTATGGAGATAAAGATAAGCTAGTTGTCTAAATCCTTCCTAACACATGCTAACTCTCTGCCGTAAAACAATATTCTCTAAACAAGATAAGGTGCCCACACGTGTTGACCATGCAACCATATTTTCCAACTCATGCCAACAGATTGCAATTGTCTGTTTCCGAAAACAGAAAATCTGTTGCTCTGTTTATGAGGTATAACAGTTGTAAAGATTTCATGATGGTTAATAGGCGCAAAGATTCTGTTCTTGATATATATGGGTGATGAAAGAGTATGGCAGAAAGGAATCATGGACCAAATTGATTACTCTCGGTCCACAAGGTCCAGAAAGACTTTTACCCAGGGCCTTATGTTTCAGCAAGAGCGGGGAAGTATTGTTAATGCTAATATCAAGTTGGTATGACTTTTGAGGGTGGACTGATTACTGCTACTGTAGTGAAGTTTGTGTATTCAATTTGTATGGTTTTGTTTGCTGCTGTAAGAGATTGTGCTATAGTTCAGGGTTTAATCCCTTTTCCATTGGTTTTCATTTGTATAATAGTTTCGTTTCCAATTTAGCTTTCATTTAGGGGGAGGAATTTTCATTTGCACTCCTGAAGAAGTACTGGGAAAAGTTTTCATGACAACTGATGTCAGCTATAATGCTTAACAATTGATAAGCGTAGCACTTTTCTTGTTTTCTGTTGTTGCATATTTGTAGTGCTGTTGAAGTGCCTGATGCCTGATGTGCAGTCACTCCCGGTTCTTGTTCTCTAACATTTTGATTTTGTTGCTGATCTGTAGGGCAGTAGCGTCCTATGCCTGAAGTGCCTGATGTTTCGTTGTATTTGCTTGGCATGGAACCTGTTATTTGTAGCGCTGATATGTTTTTTTGTAGTAGTTCTTGCACTATCTAGTCTTCAGCTTTTGAAAAACTTTAATGGAACTATGGAAGTATCTAGTTACAATTTTCATTTGGCTTCGAAGTTTGGAACTCTGCACCATTTTCTATTAAATGCCTTTGCAATTTTCTTTGCAATTTATTCTAATAATGTTCTTTAAGCTGTTCAACTAATTAGCTTATTTCATATATATATGTATATATATTCTTCCTTTCCCTAGCACAAGATCCTGTAAATACAAAAATTAAAAATTTGATTACTGTAGACGAAAGTCAATAGTGGAAGTTAGAACTTGTTAATACAAAAATAAAAAAATTGCTCAAGAAATTTTGCATGTGATGACTTTGATTGCTACTTTAGCATAAAAGTGGAAGTTAGATCAAGGGCTGAACCAAATTCCTAATTACAGAAGTATGTTGCACATCCATGGTGGATGTGTGGTTCAAATCAATCCCTTTCATATGGTCAATCACTTTAATATCCTGCTTAGTTATAAGTTCACATTACAAGGCTTGGCAATATTGAAACTTGATGTAAATCCTAAAAAATATTTGTATCATTTAGTGTATTTTCAATATGGAATTCTAGCGTTATGGCAATTTAAAGCCGCCAAAATTCTAAGTTATCATCATGATAAATTAATTTAAACTTCGGACATCTTAACTTTTGGTTGAACTAACTAGATCCTCCCAAATGAGCCCTTAACGTCTGCTTGGCCCCAATAGATCATTGTTCCCAAAAGTGATTTTCTTATACCGTAAGTGTTGAACTAACTAGGTACTTCAATATCAATTAGCTCTTATCCAAAGAATGAACACATTTCAGCACAACTTCTTACCCTTTTTTTTTTAATCCATGAATTACAATCATTATTATTACTATCTGTGCACCCCTCCTTTTAAACCCAAAAAAAAAAAATCTCTTTTATTTGCATATTAGAACAGTGAATAGTTTTGCTAGGGCTGCCAAATGGGGCCATGGCCATTGTAGTTACTGTACACCTTGTTGATTGGGCCTCTAAAGCTTTGGTTCAAGAGGTGTGTGGTTTATGAGAGAAAGAAAAGCTATTTTGATTTTGAGTTGGCTCATTTTTTTTTAAAAAAAAAAATTACAAAAAAGTGATTGGGAGATGAGGAGTTGAGCCATTGCCTGGACTGAGGGCGTGTTTCTTTTTTTTCCTTTCTGATTTTTTTTTTTTGGGTTTGCTAAGATTAATTATTCAACACTGAGATTAATTATTAAACACTAAGATTCATTATTATTTGCTACCCACTCATAGTGGGTGAGTTGTCCAACTTAGCTTAGTCTCTGTCACATCGCAATCACTTTAATGTCTTACTTAGTTACGAGCTAACGTTACATGACTTAGTAATTACAAGATCTGATATAAGTATTTATAAGTATTTGCATCATCCAGCTTTCCAATGTGGGATTCTATTGTCCTAATTTTCAAGTGACATAATTAATAATGGTTAATAGAACCACATTAATATTAATAATGTTTAAAGTAAAGGGGCTTTGCAAATTCAATGGCAAAGCGAATGATCTCTTATGTGGACTCAGCATGAGAAGTTCTGAGAAGAGGGAAAACACCCCTGTATGTAAGGCTATGCCTTGCTAGAGCTGCATCTCTACATGACCAGTCAAAAGAGTCTGTTGTTTTCTCAGGCACCAGTTAGCACAGACAAAATTGGCATGCCTGACCGGTACTTAGCCACCAGCTTCGCAGTGCTTCCTCCTTTAGTCAGGACTCAGGACTATAAAATCCCACATCGAAAACGATGGAATCAAATTTCCATATCTTTTGGCCATTGAATCATCAAATTTGCATAAATCTCTTCCCGAGAGATTATATTTATGCATGCACCAAGCTCTCAGAGCTTCACACCAAAGCTCCTGAACATAGCTTTGCCTACACCAAGAAAACTATCGAACCAGCGTTTGGCCGCAAGCTCCCTGAGATTTTTGATAATTTTGAAGATAAACCAGTAGCATCTGGAAGTATTGCTCAAGTGCATCGATCGAGAGCTACTTTAAGATTTAGGTCCCCTGGTCAACATGTGCCCCATAGTAGTTGCCGTAAAGGGTTAGACATCCTGGTATTGGCGAATCGAGTAGGAGAGAGTTTGTTATAATCAATCTGGTAGCAAAACTTTCAAACTTCATTCCTGCTATAAAGTGGTGGAGATTGGATGAGAGAGTGTGCAGCAGTTTGCAGTTTTTATCATGTTGCCCATTTGAGCAAGGGAAGCTGCCCATTTGCACCCACTTGTGCATCCTGCTGTTCTGGTGGAAACATATGAATAAGGGGAATGTTGTCTCACACTATGTCGATGATCTTGAAGGGCATGATAGGATTAACCCCCATCAAAAATTCACACTCCTATAAAGGTGTTTATAAACAAAGCACTATGATGGTTTGGTAACTGTGGTTAATATTGGAGAGTTGGGCTAATGGGCTTGATTATAGGCTTGGCTTTGGATTTGGCTTTCATTAATAATAATTATATTAATCAAAGACTTGGGCCTTGGCCTTCCACGTGTCAAAAACGTAAAGCCTAGCGTCTATACTATTTTTCAAAAAAATTAAGAAAAGACCGAGTATAGCGGCTATACTATTTATAATAAAAAAAAATTAAATATTCAAGTATAGCCGCACGGTTGTACTATTTTGGCACATTACAACTTAAAAGTTCAGCCACTATATTATATTTTAATATAAATTTTTAAATATGTATTATTTTTATTCAATAATTTATGAGAATTTTGTGTGTCTTATTGAAATGTTTGTAAAAAATACGTGTATTAAACATGAAAATACTTACGTACATGTATAATACGAGTATTGTACGTTTGCTTTTCAAAGACTTGGGCCTTAGGACTCTTGTGCTATGGAGAAATCTAATCAAGACACCCAAACTAAATAAGTAATTTATTTTTTGGACGTCCATTGCACTTCAAGTACTTACTATTTATTAAGTCATTTGTGAAATCAGTAACATATTTAAATATTCACTAAAGAAATAATAAATAAAACATAATTACTAATTAAAGTGATTCAAAAAGACTAAGATATTACTTAATTACATATATTAAATTAAAGAAGTTGGCCCAAAAAACAAAAGTAAAGAAACAAGTTCGCTATTTTTCAAAATTAAAACAAAAAACCTCTCTCCGACGAAAGTTTGTTTTTTTTTTTTTTTTTTTTGTGGAGACATATATATATGGGGTCCGCCAGAGCCTAGGGGCCACGTGTCAAACAAGTACAGCCGTGCGGCTATACTATTTTTAAAAAAATTAGGAAATTTTTAAAAACCGGGTATAGCCGCCCGGCTATACTATTTATCTACATTAAAAAAGAGACCCGCAGAGCGCCTGGGCGCCACGTGTCAAAACAGTATAGCTGTGCGGCTAGACTATTTTTATAATAAAAAAATAAAAAATCCGGGTATAGCCGCACGGCTGTACTATTTGGCACATTACAACTTAAAAGTCCAGCCACTATATTATATTTTAATATAAAATTTTAAATATGTACTATTTTTATTCAATAATGTGTGAGAATTTTGTGTCTTGTTGAAATGTTTGTAAAAAATACATGTATTAAACAAGAAAAATACATACATACATGTATTTTAGTGCTACTGAGAAGGCAGAACATTGCTTTCCAACAACATTTTAGTTCTTTGTTTGCCATGTTTTTATGTTCATGAAAAGCCTGATTGGTGACTCCAATGGCCCTCGTTCGAATGCAATTTGCAAACAACATATGATGGTTGTCCATTTTTGCAATTGCATTTGTTTGAAGACCATTTTTGCAACATTAACTCAACCCCCATTCAACATTCGACTCAATAATGAAGGGAACACTCTTTGATTTTAAAATTTTATTAAAATTCCCAGAAGCTCGGACAAAGCCACCTGCTTGTTCAATGAATGACTTGATGTGAGACCAGTTCCAGTTTCAAAGGCGTATTTATGGGTTTCATTTCTCTTCAAAATTTTACCAGCCTTATGATATACTAATTATTTATAGTACGATCAATGCGTGAAATTTCTTTTATAAGAGCAAGTTGGCTTTTTGGTGCCTTATGATATATTAAATTGTTTTTAATTTATTATAATAATATTCTTTAATCTTGACACCCTCATTTGCACCCAAGTTCGTCTCCTCTCCATACCCGTACTTTTTTTTTTGTTGAACAAAAGTTTAAAGGCAGGAGAGGCTACCCTATCCCATGGTCAAAGCATACCAAAGTCTCTTTGAGGACTTATAGAAAGGGTCTTAGCCCCTTTTTTGGTTTTTTTAGATTACCCACCAAGAGAGATTGTTGGCAACGGGACTCGAACCTAGGCTTTAGTAGCGAAAAAAACAATCCTTACCAATTCAACCAACTCTCGTTGGGCTCCCAAATCATTTTTGTTTATTAATGAGAAATTGAAATAAACACAATGGGCCTGCCGGAAATAAAATCCCGAATGGGCCTGTGAAGATAAAGTTGCATTACAGAAACCGCGGTCCAAGACAAAGGTGGCAAAATTTACAAGCTACCGAAAAAGAAGGGGTCAAAATAGAAATTAGCAGAAAATGGTTCCCGGGAAAGCATTTGCAAATCATAAACCCTCATTAAATCAACAGATAAATAGAGAAAGAGAGGTCCCTCCCTCTGATCCGTTAGGGTTCTACCCTTTTCTTCTTCACTCTTCTTCTCTAACGCAGCAAACGAACGAGAGGCTGCATCTGGACCCAAAACTGTAAGTTCCTAAAGTTTCTCTTTCCTTCTTCTGGGAATTTTTTAAGAGCTTTTTTCTCTGATAAAAATGATGGGTTTGGCTTTAGTGTAATTTTTTTTTTCCTGATGGGTTTGGATTTTTGATTTATTGAATGGAGATTGGGTTTGATCTGAAAAATATGACGTTTAGGGTTCTTGTTGTTCCGTTTTTTTAGTTTTAATTTTTTAGTTTATGTATATGAATGTTACTCTGCTGTAAGAACAGCTCCCCTTGATTTTTTTTGCCTCAATTGTAGCTGAGTTTTGTCTTTATTGATTTTCTTTCTCAGTTGGTATAACTATTTGAATGTGCAAGACATGGATAACATACAAGATATCACACAACGGATATACACATTCAAAGTTGAAGCTTTTCCACAGGACATAATACATGAGATCCTATTTAGGCTACCACTTAAATCTTTGATAAATTGCACCTCAGTGTGCAAGCCATGGAGGTCCATGATCATGAACCAAAGTTTTATCCACGCTCACTTCAGCCATACAGTCGACTTTGCTAATCAGAAGGACATTGACCTCCTCCTATTCCACAGAATTTCTGGTAGTGGGAGCACCATCTACTGCCACAACACAGTCATTCACAAGGTAGAAGTTGAGTTTCACTCTTTGCATTATGATAATGAGGCTTTTGATGTGCACTCCAAGATAGAATTTCCAATTGCTCCAAAGAAAAAACTGCTCAATCCACATCTCCGTGTGGTTGGCACTTGTAACGGGCTAATCTGCCTTGCGGATGATATCTCCGCTTATGGTTACAACTTCTTTTTATGGAACCCAACCATCAGAAAGTTAGCGACTCTTCCTGGGCCTGGTATTACCTTTTGGACGCATGGTGCATACAATGCTTCGATTGGGTTCGGTTTTGATTCTATGACCAATGACTATAAGGTTGTGCGACTTGTGACTTTAATGGATGAAGTTGAGAGGCCAACTCTAGCTGAGGTTTATTCCCTAGCCACGGGCACATGGAGCAGTCCTGTTTGTGTTTCTCCTACATGTCGAATAGAAATGGCTGCATCCAATGCTTTTGTTAATGGGGTTCTTCATTGGCCTGTAGTCTCAAACAGTGATCATTGCTATTTTATACTGACATTTGATCTGGGAAATGAGGTGTTCCGTATGATACCTATGCCCAAGATTATCCAATGGAACTTCAATTTGGGGTTGCGATTGTCTGTTTCAGATGACAGAAAATCTGTCGCTCTGTTCATGAGGGAAAAGAGTCATGAAGATTTCATGATAAATAATAGTCGTGAAGATTCTGTTCTTGATATATGGGTGATGAAAGAGTATGGTAGAAAGGAATCATGGACCAAATTGATTACTCTCGGTCCACAAGGTCGAGAAAGGCGTTTACCCAGCGCCTTTTGTTTTAGGAAGAATGGGGAACTGTTACTGCTCAGAGAAGAACAGTGGAAGGAACAAGTAGTATCACTAGACCTTGTGAGCACACAGTTTAAAAATCTTGGGATTTCTGGATATGATTATTGCACTGTTGATTTTTATAAAGAGAGCCTCCTCTTACTCGACAAGACTGATGCAGAGTCGTACTAAGAGAAAGAACAGGTAATGGTTTTCAAGAACAGTTTAATTCTTTGTTTGCCAAGTTTTTATGTTCATTAAAAGCATGATTGGTGACTAAATTGCTGTGGGATCCTTATTATGTCGACTTGTTGTGGGTTCTTTCTTTTAGCTGATTGTCTTTCTCGCTTTTGTTGCTAGAACACAACTTGTGACTAAAGAAAACACAGCTCTCATGGAAACTCAATTTGGATATCAAAAAGTTAAAAACAATGTAATTATAATAAATATCAACTCAGCTCTCATATAAACACAGTTAGACTGGTCTTTTATGTGCTCATAGTTTTTGACTTATATAATATGGTATGACTTTAGATGGTGGACTGATTGCTGCTACTGTAGTGAAGTCTGTGTATTCAATTTACATTTTTGTTTGGTGCTGTAATAGATTGTGCAGTAGTTCATGCTTTAATCCCTTTTCCAATGTTTTCATTTGTACAACAGTTTTGTTTCCAATTTAGATTTCATTTTTGTAAGCATGAAGATGAAGTTTCATTTGCACTCCTGTAGAAGTACTGGGAAAAGTTTTCATGACTAGTGATGTCAACTCCAATGCTTAACAATTGATTAACGCAGCACTTTTCTTGTTTTCTTTTGTTGCATATTTCTAATGCAGTAACGTTGTTTGCCCAAAGTGCCTCATGTCCATTTCTTGTTATCTATCATGCTGATGTATTTTCGTTTTCTTGTTTCTTTTGTTGCCTATTTGTAGGGCAGTAGCGTCCTATGCCTGAAGTGCCTGATGTTTCGGTGTATTTAGTTGACATGCCTGATGTCACTATTTATTATTCTTCAGCTTTTGGAAAACTTTAATGGAACTAATGGAAGTATCTAGTTACAAATTTCAATTACCTTTGCAGTTTGAAACTCTGCACCAGTTTCCATGAAATGCTTTTGCAGTTTTCTGTTTCATTTTTATTGCATGGTTTGTCTACTCCCTTTGCATTGCATTATCCTTTAAGAGCTTATATGAGTTATTTAGCAAGGGTGTTTATTGATTTGAGTATCAACAATATAAGTTCGCTTGATAATAATAATTATTATTATTATATGACTTTTTTGGGGACTAGAACCATACTGGATTATGAAAAATGCACCCGTCATCTGACTTGTAAAAACACAATAAAAGTGGACATAAGTTTCCAAAAGAAACTAAACAAAACAGACTTTCTTGTTGGTGGCCCAAAACAGTGGAGATCCATATTCAAGTGGGATGTCATTGAAGAAATGTATTTACTTGAATGCATGTGCAATGTGAAGAACATTGATGTCTTTGGGTGTTTTCTTATAAAGAACATATGGTAATTCCTCACCATCTTTAATCCTTCTGAACAAACCCGCATCACCCGATGTTGTCGCCTCATATGCCAAACAATCCATGGTTTTGAACTCTCTCAAACTTGCTTAATGTAGCACAGAAAGCAGCAATGCACTGTAGAGGATTTTTTGTGAACCGTGCTTAACATCCGAGGCAATAAATAAATCTACTAGTGCTTAACATCCGAGGATTTTTTGGTCCTAATTACTTGTCATGAAAACATTATTATAATCGGTCATATTTTATTTCTACTAGTGTACTAAAAGTGGAAGTGTCAAACGGGTCGGGTCTGTTCGGCACTACACGAGTTCAATAATATGGTACGATACGGCCCAAAAATGATTATTAGTGGGCAGTGCTAGGAACGGCACGAAAGCTTAGGTCGGATTAAAAATTTAGGTTCAACAAACCAAGCCGGCCCACAGCTCGCTATAAGCCCGACTTGAGCCCAAACCTGACCCAAGCCCACTCTAAGCCCGACATGAACCCACTTAATTAATTAATTTTTCGTTTTTGTAATTCCACTCTCTAATTCAAATTTCCTTTTAAAATTGGGTTTAGTTGAAACTTTAAACCAGAGAACAATATCAACAAATAGCATCGACATGTGAAATGGGTACGTTTTGTTTGTTTTTCTGGTATAATCTGTCTCCCAGAAAAGAAGGGAAAAAAATTGTTTAAAGTTATTAGCAAATAAATTGTGTTTTTATTTATATTATTAAAGCAGCCACTTTTCCAACATAAATTTGGAAGCCTGAACTCAAAAAGCACATTTCTTTTAACATAATTTAAGCTATACTTTATATTAATGCCGATTATATGAAGTGTTGTGGTATTTCCTTTTTTTCACCAAATTTCCTCTTCTATGCGTTGTTTATAATATGATTTTGAATAGAACAGATGCTCCTCTATTTCCATTTTATTATGGCTGTTTTTTAGCTTTGTTTTCAGTTAATGAAGTTATTTGATTTTTTGTCCCCAATTTTTATTTATTTATTTTTTCATTTGATCCCAAAAATACAAAAAAAATACAACAACAAAAATGTTTGTAGGAATTAGAGAGAAATTGTAATAAACTAAAGAATGGGCCTGTTGAGATAAAGTTACATTACTGAAACAAAAGCGGTCCAAGAAAAGAAGGGGTTAAAATAGAAATTAGACAGAATTATGGCGAAAAATGAAAATGTCTACAGTAAAAAATTGTTCCCGCGAAGCTTATGCAGTTCATAAACCCATAAACCGAAGCTTTTAATTTGGTACGGAGCTTTAGACGTAGGCAGGCAATCTCAGGCTCAGCATATAAATAGAGAAGAGAGGTCCCTATGATCTGTTAGGGTTTGGGCCGACTGCTTTCTCTCCCCTCACTATCATGTACGGAAAAGAATGTCTTAGAAGCTAGGGTTCTACGCTTTTCTGCTTCACTCTTCTTCTCTAGCACAGCACATGCACAAGAACGAGACGCTTCCTCAGCTTCGGCTCTGCTCATCAGGACCAGAAATTGTAAGTTTCTGAACTTTTTCTCTTCTTTTTCTGGGATTTTTTTAGAGCTTTTCTGTTTCTTATGAGAATGTTGGGTTTGGATTTAGTGTTAGTATTTTCATGATGGGTTTGGATTTTTTATTTGTAGAGTGGATGTTGGGTTTGATCTGAAAAATATGACGCATCTTTTTCGTTTTTGATTTGTAGAGTCGATCTTGGTCCTCATTACTGGATCTTTTTAGTTTTAAGTTTTATCTTTTAAGTATATGAATGTTACTCTGCTTTCAGAACAGCCCCTTGATTTTTTTTAATTCTCAATTATAGCTTCTTCTTTTTTGTTTCTATTGTTTTCTCAGTTGGTATAACTGTTTGAGTGTGAAAGAAATGGATGACATACAAAATATCACACAAGGGATGCACGAATTAAAATTTGGATAGATGGCAGGCTCTTTTCCTCAGGAAATCATACAAGAGATCCTAATTAAGCTGCCCGTTAAATCTCTGATCAAATGCACCTCAGTGTGCAAGACATGGAGGTCCATGATCATAAACCCAAGATTTATTCGCACCCACGTCAGCCCAGCAGTCCAGTTTGCTAACCAGAATGACATTCACCTACTACTCCACAGAGTTTCTGGTTTGCAGATGACCACCTTCTTCGGCCAAACGGTCATGTACAAGGTAAATGACGAGGTTCTCTCTGTGCATTATGATAACCAGGCTTTTGACCACTACTCCAAGATAGAATTTCCAATTGCTACCCAGGGAAGAAAGTACAACTCATATATTCGTGTGGTCGGCATTTGTGATGGGCTATTCTGCCTTGCGGATGATATGTTCCGTTATTGTTACAACTTCTTCATATGGAACCCAGCCATTAGAAAGTTAGTGACCATTCCCTGGCCTAATGTTAGATTTGATACGCATGCTGGGTACGATGCTTCGATTGGATTTGGTTTTGATGCTACGACCAATAACTATAAGGTTGTGCGAGTTGTCACTTTATTGGATCAACGTGGGACACCAACTCTCGCTGAGGTTTATTCCCTGGCCACTGGCACATGGACCAGTCTTGGTTGTGTTTCTCCTACCTGTCTAACAGATGGACGTGCATCCAGTGTTTTTTTCAATGGGGTTCTTCATTGGCCTGTATTCTGTAAGACAAATGGTGATCTTTACTATTTTATATTGACATTTCACCTGGGCAAGGAGGTCTTCCGTAAGATGCCTATGCCGAAGATTATCAAATGGAAATTCGACTCGGGAATGCAATTGTCTGTTTCAGATAACAGAAAATCTATTGCTCTGTTCACGATGGATAACAGGTTTGAAGATTCTTTTCTTGAGATATGGGTGATGAAAGAGTATGGCATAAAGGAGTCATGGACCAAATTGATTACTCTTGGTCTACAAGGTCCAGAGAGACTTTTACCCAGGGCCTTATGTTTTAGGAAGAGTGGTGAAGTACTGGTACTTCTCACTGACAAATCAAGGCAGGAACTAGTATCACTAGACCTTGAGAGCAAACAGTTTAAAAATCTTGGGATTTCTGGATATCAATATTGCCATGTTGATTTTTATAAAGAGAGCCTCCTCTTACTCGACAAGAGCGATGCAGAGTCTTACTAAGAGGAAGAACAGGTAATGTTATTATAGTGTTGAGAACAGAACATTGCTTTTCAAGAAAATTTTAATTCTTTGTTTGCAGATTGTTATGTTCATTAAAAGCCTGACTGGTGAATAAATTGATGCACTTTCATTGTTATGTTATGACTTGTTGTGGGTTCTTTTTGTCAGCTGATTATCTTTCTTGTTCTATTGCTAGAACACAACTTGTGACTATAGTCAACTTAGCTCTCATGTAAACTCAATTTGGATATCAAAAAATTGAAGAAATTATAATTATAATAATATCAACTCAGCTCTCATGTAAACACTGTTAGACTGGTCTTTTATGAGTTCTTTTAGTTTTTGACTTATGTAACAACAACTTAGTATGACTTTAGTCGGTGGACTGATGATGCTGTTGCTGCTACTGTTATGAAGTTTGCGTATTCATTTACATGGTTTAATTTGCTGCTGTAATAGGATTGTGCAATAGCTCATTCGTTAATTCCATGTCCACTGGTTCTCATTTGTAAAATAGGTCTTTTTACAATTTAGCTTTCATTCATGTAAGCATGAAGAGGAAATTTCGTGCTTAAGCATTGATTAACCTAGTACTTTTCTTGTTTTCTTTTGTTGCAGATTTGTAGTGCCGTTACGCCCTTTACCCGATGTGCCTGATGTGCAGTAACGCCGTTCTCTTGTTATCTCATATGCTAACATATTTTCGTTTTCTTGGTTATTGTGTTGCAGATTCGTAGGGCAGTAGTGTTGTATGCCTGATGTGGTGGTGTATTTACCTAGCATGGAACTTGTTATCTGTAGTGCTGATGTGCTTTCTGTAGTAGTTGTTGGACTATTTATTCTTCAGCTTTTGAAAAACTGTAATGGAACTATGGAAGTATCTATCTAGTTACTAATTTCATTTGGCTTTGAACCAGTTTAAATGCTTCTGCAGTTTTCTCGTATTGTTTTGTGTAATTTTTCCTGAGCTCAACGATTGACAGTGGAGTTCACTTTTAAGCGACAATGGTGAGGTGAAATTGTACCCACTTTTAAGCAACTGCAAATCTTCTTGGAATAGCCCTCATTTACAAACATGTGATGGTCTGTCCATGAGGTTCCATTTTTCAATTACATTTCTTTGGATGAGCATTTTATCAACATGTAATCATTCAAGACTAGTTTTAGTCTTGTGTAGAGGATAGAGCTGTTCAGCATTTGAATTGTTGATCATAGGATTGAAGCATATTTCATTCATACACTCTATCTCAAGGAAACATTTTATAGGCATAAAATTAATAATAATCTATATATCTATATATATAAAGCAAAATGTAGAGAATGGTGAAACATTCAAAATACCAGAAAATACCCTTAGTTAATACAAACATTAAGAATTGAAATTATTAATTAAGTGAGGATAATATGGTAAATTTACACTTTTTCATATTAAAAAAATTTAAAATTACAAGAAAAATCAGATAATGGATCCTTTTTTTTATAGAACACAACTACCCATTATCTTTTTTAATTCTAAAATAAATTTAATTTTTTCTTTTAAAAAGCCTCTCGCAGGCGTTGAAGCGCATGCAGAGAGGCTAGCCTATTTTTAACATATGGTAGGATTAGTGAACAGTCATGGGGCAAGACCGTCTTTTCACCAACACCTATGGCATCAACTCGCCCACCCCCTCCTTGTCTCGTCATAATTTGTTCAACTAATTAGGGGTGGACATTGAGACCAGAAAATTGAAACAAACTGGATTAGAAAAACTAGTAAAAAACTGGGTTTATAAAAAAGTCAACAAATTTTTTTATAAAAAAAGGGGATCGGACCAGTTTTGCATCTCCAAAAACCTAAATTAGATCAGTTGTGTTTCTATCTATATATATAAAGCAAAAGACAGAGAATGGTGAAAAATTCAAAATACCAGAAAATGCCATTAGTTAATGCAAACATTAAGAATTGAAATTATTAATTAAATGAGGATAATATGGTAAATTCACACTTTTTCATATTAAAACTAAAATTAAATTAAAAGAAAATTCAAATAATGGATCCTATTTTTATGGAACACAACTACCCATTATCTTTTGTAATTCTAAAATAAATTTTTAATTTTTTTTTAAAAAGCCTATCGCAAGCGCCGAAGCACGTGCAGAGAGGCTAGTAATAATAAAGAAAAATTAGGTATTAGACATAACAACTTTTACTAATTAGGATTTGAGACATAAAGTATTTCTTTCTGGGTATTAATACATAGTTTTCAAATTTTATTTTGGATTTGGTCAAAAGAGGCCCAGATTCATTGGGTCTGTCTAAATTAGAAAAGTAAAATACAATTTTACCATTTTTGTTGAAAAGCCTTGCAAAAATCATATTTCATCCTCCCCCTCTCTCTCTTGACCGGAAAACAAGGCAACCACATTACCAATTTCACGGACCTTATTTCGTCATTGTTCCTTCACGAAAGTTGCTCGCCATCACCTCCTCTTTCATCTTCCCAAAATACCTGACTCAAACAGCCGGTGTTCGTGGCCAATTTTGGCTAGAATAGTCCAGCAGTCATGTCACGACCCGATCCAAGAATAAAGAATATTCCTAAATCAGGGTGCATGAATTGAATGAAATAAAATAAAAAGACTAAAAATTTGGTTAAAATACATTTCCTTTATATATAAAAAATAATAATAATCTTACAAGTGTACAAGATATTAATAAAACTTTATCACTCTAAACTAATCCAACTTCTCTGGTTTCACTTTTGTCTTGCCCACTAATTGATCTGAAAAACAAAATAAGTTAGGGATGAGCAAACCACCGCTCAGTGAGTAGATTATGTAATATGTCAGTCAAGCAATGTCATTTTACACACTCTAGAAAAATATAATAAAAAGATACACAATCCAAATCATATCACATCATTACTTCATATTTTGGCTATCCTTCACAAATTGTACCCAGTATGTGACACCTATCGACCTCACTGCCCTATCTCCCCGTCTAGTACATTTATCATTCGGATACCCCATCACTAAAGTTCTCATGTTCCATAAATAATACATACTTCACAAAAACTCCAAATAATATATATTGTGTGAAATATTGCACAAATTAGATATGTTTGACTTGAAAATAGAGAGAGGTTTGTAAATAGAATAAACCCATGATTTTCACATTTATCACAAAATAAGAACTTTTAGAATATATTACATAACCCACTCATCATGATAAGTATGAAATATTGCAAGACTCTCTCTCTCTCTCTCTCTCTCTCTCTCTCTCTCTCTCTCTCTCTCTCTCTCTAACACTACTTCATGGTAGAAATCTATCTTAAAGAATTGGAATGAATGATTGAAGTAAGGAAGCATGATACTTATAGGAGAAACTACGGATGCAACCAAATAATATTTATATATACAATATTTTAAACCACCAAAAGATAAGATAGAAAAGTAAGGGAATAATGTGACTCATCTTACTTTGGCCAATGATATCACAACACCACCACCAAAAGATAAGATAGAAAAGTAAGTGAGTCATCCATCTTTGGCCAATGATATCACAACATCACTTGTTACTAGCAAGCAAGGTGGCATGGCAATGACGATTTGATTAAAACCAATTCTAAGTCTCTACACGTGGAAAACAAGATTGGTGTCATCTTTCAACTAAAGGGATAGTATCATCTAGGCTTAAGATTTAATAACATATAAGTCTTCACAATAAATATTTAACTAAGAAAAAATCATATTAATAAATAATTAATATGTAGTATGAATAATTATTTATAATTATTATTTTTTACAGGTTCTCACAAGTCGCGGCCTGCCGTAAACCATCTGATATCGATTTGGGATTACAGTTGTCTGTTTCAGGAGATGGAAAATCCATTGCTCTGTTCTCGATGGATAACAGATGTGAAGACTGTTTTCTTGATATATGGGTGGTGAAAGAGTATGGCATAAAGGAGTCATGGACCAAATTGATTACTCTTGGACTTGGTCCACAAGGGCCAGAAAGACTTCTACCCAGGGCGTTATGTTTTAGGAAGAATGGTGAAGTATTATTGATGCTATGCGGAGCTAGGGAAAGATGGATGCTTTGTGAAAGATCTAGTAATGAATATCTTTTGATATTGACAGCGTAAAATCGAAGCATGAGTTAGTATCGCTAGACCTTGTGAACAAAACCATTAAAAATCTTGGGATTTCTGGGGAAGGATGTCAATATTGCTCCGTTCATTCTTACAAAGAGAGCCTTGTCTTACTCGACCAGACAAATGCAGTTTCTTACTAAGAGAAAGAAAGGGTAAGGTGGTTATAATGCTGAGAGCAGAGCATTGCTTGTCAAGTACAATTTTAATTCTTTGCGTGCCAGATATTTATGTTCATTAAGAGCCTCATAGATTATTAAATTGATGCTGGTTCTTCTAATGTTTATTAAGAGCCTGTCAAGAACATTGCATGTCGAATTGTTGGGAGTTCTTTGTGTTTTAGCTGATTGTCTTTCTGGTTTATGTTGCCATAAGACACAACTTATGACTAAATTTGGTGAACAAGAAGTTCAAACAAAATATTGATAAATATGGTTAGACTGGTCTTTGTATAAGTGCTTGTAGTTTGTGACTTTGTCCAATATCTACATGGTTTGACTTTAAGCAGTGGACTCTGGAAATTTTGCTGCTACATAGTGAACTTTATGCATTCATATTATTAGGACAGTAAATTTTCCGATTCCTTTATGTGAAATATGAAGAGGAAGTCATATTCGCATTCCTAACAGTGGTTTTTATTCGTTTTCTTTTGTGACAGATTTGGAGTTCCGCAACTGCCTGATGTGCAGTAACATCCTTTTCTTGTTATCTGACCAGTTGACATATTTTCGTGTTCTTGATTATTTTGTTGCAGATTTGTAGGGCAGTAGCATTCTATGCCTGAAGTGCCAGATGTTGTGGTGTATTTACTTGGCATGGACCTTATATGTAGTAGTGCTGTTATGTTTTCTCTAGTATTACTTGGACAATTCTTCAGCTTTTGAAAAACTTTGAATGGAACTATGGAGTATCTAGTTACAGATTTCGATAGGCTTTGCAGTTTGAAACTATGAACCATTTGTATTAATTGCTTTTGCAATTTTCTATTTTACTTTTATTTTTGCATTATTTTCCCGAGCTCAACAATTGACAGTAGGATCCACTTTTAAGTGACGATGGTTGTAGTACCTCAATTCAATTATGCTTCCATTACACCGTTGGGAAGAAGGGGTTCGGGTCGGGACCTAGGGGTATGGTTTTAGATAAGACTAAGACCCAGGAGTGACGTTGAGTGGCTTCTCAACGCTATGAAAGTTTCTTCATCCAAACGAAGGGTTAAGGGTTTAGAATATGTTTAGGCTATAGCCATTAATTTAACTAGTCTCTCCGCACACGCTTCTGCGCCTGTGAGAGGCTTCTTTTAAAAAAAATTAAAATTTATTTTAGAAATAAAAAAGATAATGGATAGTTGTGTTTCATAAAAATAGGCTATTATCTTATTTTTTTTTTAATTTTAATTTTTTTAAATATGAAAAAATGTGAATTTACCATATTATCCTTATTTAATTAATAATTTCAATTCTTAATGTTTGCATTAACCAAAGGCATTTTCTGGTATTTTGAATATTTCACCATTCTCTGCCTTTTGCTTTATATATATATAGATTATGTTGTTTACAATATTTGTCCACCATCAATAATAAAAGAGACTCCATTTTCTACGAGTTCATGTTTATGTTCACATCTCAAATAACTGTATTGGATTTCATTGCATTAAAGATATCGCCACGTGTATCTCAAAACAACAACAAAAAAAGATATCGCCACGTGTACACTCATGGACCTCTAAAAGAAGTTGTAAATGCCCCCAAAAGTTTCCTAGAACCACAATAGTGCCACA